CGTTTTTCTGTAGAACCAGTTCCTGTCAGTCTTCAATATATCATCTACTGCCCCACGTCTGTCTGCTCCTATTGACTACTGGCTACGAACTGCGTATAATCTAATAGTCGCAATCGTCCTGTGAGATCCTTAACCGTCCGGATCTTACATTCGGTTTCTATGACCATTTCGTATACGAGCTGTCCTGATAACATCTGTACCCACGCACACAGGTGGATTCTTTCAACAAGGCTTGTTACGGCGATCTGCTTTTTGAGCTTGAGTCACGCGTGCCACTGCGACCGAGAATTGCGGTTTCTGGAATCGCGCGTGACTCAAGCTCAAAAAGCAGATACCTGAAACAGTACATAACGGATTCTCCTCTGCAGATACCGTAGGGTTACAAAATAAGGCGGTGCAATCACCAGCCTGAGGATAAAGCGGAAATCACTTCGTTTCAAAGTCCATATCGTCGCGGCCAAACAGATATCGACGGCAAGCAACCGCAAAATCACAAAATCCGGTCAAATCCGTAAGATTTATAAAAACAGTTCAGTAAAACTAGAAAGTTTCAGTTCATCATTATCCATCACCAGAGCTAATGCGACGAGTGAGTTAGGTCGGCTTCTATAGGCTCGTATTGCAGTGCTCAGTCCAATAAATAGGACTTTCATGGCCAAACCCAAATTTTCATTTCTGTTTATTACGGCTTTCCGGTTTCGTAATCAGACGGGCTCTGGAAAAGTAACTAGGAATTTATCTTTCGAAGGACAGTCACGCATGTAAATTTAAGCTATTTGCATCCCGCCACAAGTGACGTAGCAAACATTTTGCAGTTGCAAATGCCTGCAAGGGAGTTTTATATCTGCCCGCGAAAAATCCACAGGGCTACGAGCACATTCATAAATTACAAAAGTTCACACCGATTAAGGTTCCGTGGTGTACAGTCTTTATTGCTCACGGTTCTCGTCTTCCGATTGATTGCCGTTTTTTCAACTATCGCGAAACCTGATTAGCGTCTATTCCCAAGTTGGGACACTAGTTTAAATATGACGATGTGCTGAGCAACCTTCTTCAAGCTTGTTCTTAAATAAATGGCACTCGTTAATTTTAATGATCAAAATGTCGTTTTCTGTCGGGGGCCCGTGATTTAGCTCGGCGGCGTCTGGCGGCAAACATGCAAAACCTCTGTCATGAAATGAACTGAACTGGTATACGTGCACGATTGAAATGCTGAATTTCCTGTCTATGATAGACTCAGCTGAGGGCCAAGGACGAAGAACTCATATCGGAAGCCATATTTTTCGACTTCTCAAAAGCATTTGATAGGGTCGCACACGTCTGCTGCTCCACAAACTCCAGTATTACGCGATTCAAGGAATAATCCTTCCCCAGATCAAGGCGTTCTTATCAGACAGATCATTCCTAGTGAGAATAGACTCGACCGACTCCTCTTCAGCGCCAGTCTCCATTGGAGTTACTCAAGGCTCCGTCTTGGGACCAATCCTGTTTCCGATTAAAGTCAACGAAATCCAGGGTGTCCTTGCGAGTCCATGTCTACTTTCGCGGACGACTTGGTAACCAGGAGTTCCAAAGCAAGCGTCCCCGAAATGCATATAGGCACTGCCAAGCAGTGGTCGTCGGGCGGGCACCTTCATATGAATGATGAAAAATGTGCCCATATGTCGTTTGGAGGAGACTCAACGAATGCCTTTGTTATGCATAGTGGAAAGGGGCCAGAAAAAATCATGAGGATAGATGCCAAAAAGGATTTGGGCATCTGGGTCTCCTTAAACATGTCCTTCTCACTGAATCGTGAGAAATCGGCCCGAAATGTATTTGCCATTTTACGGATGATCCGACGCACCTTCTCCCGTATTACTCGCATGGACTTCCAAATACTCTACGTGGCCTACGTCAAACCCGTCCTGGAATACGCCAACCAAGTTGTCTACTCAGGACGCACGAAAGACACCCTCATTGAGCGTGTCCAGCGAGTCGCCACGAGAATGGTTGCCGGCCTCAAATCCGTGAACTACGAAACGCATCTCGCGATGCCTGGTCTCTTTCCCCTGGAGTACCGTCGCCTCCGAGGGGACCTAATTCTTAGGTTTTTTATCGTTGACCCAGCAAACAGGACATAGTAAGAAAATTTTCAAGCCTAGAGCACACACATTCATTAGACAAAATTGTTTCACATTTCGGGCAGTAGGTGCGTGGAATGACCTTCCTCCGACGGTTGTTCACGCTTCTTCTAGAACCCAGTTTAAAGCACTAATAGGCATTTATTTATGCGAATCCTCGCGCTGGCAAGCCTACTGCCCCGTGCTGAGAACATAAAGAGCAGTGCTACACCCTTTTTTCACTTGTGCCCTTCAAGCGAACGACAGCCATTGACCGACATGAACAAAGGCGACCAGGGAAACTGGGGCAAAAGCCTCGATCTTGTGTATCAATCCGTGAATCCGTGAGACGAATAATAACGTGGGCGGTTTTCACTATTGTGGTCTCCTTTTGGCTTATATAGTACCGTTACATAGCTTTGAACCTACTTCAGCCCACCTCGTGGTGCACTTAACCAAGGATACGGCCGTGAAGTATCAGTGGCGACACTGACGTTGCTGTCTTTGATGATGATGATGGAGCAAGTACCTATGGTGACCAGCCAGAGACCGATGAGTTCCGTGACACTAGTTTTCAGACTGACCTTAGCAAGGCGCGATTTAAACTGATTTGATATCGTGTCAAAGTGTCAGCAACGGATGGGTGGGAGTGCCAGTTCTCCTATCCCGGGTGGCGGAACCTGTGGTTACCATGTCTTGAGGGTACGGTCGATTGATTTTAACACAGTTGTCAAGGTTCAAGAAGGTTCGCCTGGACATAAGGCTGGACTGGAGGCATTTTTTGACTTTATAATCTCAATAGAGAACACGCGCCTGGTGAGTTGGAAGCTTTGAAAATGTATTGCATCAGTCATTGGGTGCCCTGCAGGTCTACAAATATCCCGTAATAATGAGGGTTGTGAGGATCACGAGTGGAATCAAAAGTGCCTTTACCACCTACCCAGGCCGGCCTTAGTAACAAAACTAAGGGATTAATTGAACCCTCAGCTCTAGGGCTAGGTGAAAAACCCCGGTTTCACCAGTGGTTATGCAAACGCTTCTCACCACTGATGCTCGTTAACTTAGGGAACCCAAGTTTCTTCGCCGGATGATGAGCTCTTTCGGGCTGTTTTGGTATTGTATTGGTTGGTTTGTATGAATATCACTATTACCACAACCTTCGACTTTTTACTGTTGTAGATTACGAGGTGTTCAAGTGTAGGTGTTTAATGGAAATGTTTTGTGTGCACTGCAACATTTCAGGTTTTGCTCCAGTTACACTCCATAATTGCCTAAGGTTTTTTATCACGTATTCTCCGGCGTCTTACACGAATTCCACGTGAACGCGATGTCAACGATATGGACACAACTCAGTGACATATAAAGCGCCATTCAGTGGCGATGTACACAATCGCAACTTAGATATTTATCGGTTCGATACAGTTAGCATGTGGGAACACAACCGTAAATTCTTCGTGAGGTTGGGGTAATAGCAGTAGCCGGTTTGTATTACTAGACACTGTATCCTAGATTCCGGATTTCTTCACTGTGCACTGTAGGTCCCTAGTTGACATGATTGTTTTCCAGTCACTAGTTGTCGTTTGACTCTGATGAGCAGCTACGATAAGGACATTTACATGTAAATCTCCTTAGGTTATTCTCAGTACGAATGGGATTGTTCAACACATTCGAGCTCCCAGTAACCTACTGAAACTTTTCTGGGCTGGTCTCAAAATTAACACAGCTCACTACTTAAGCATTCCTCCGTGTCACGGTTGTATTATTGGTTGTAAGTGTCGCTCATTGGTTTCCATGCTCCAGTTCATGTGGTCAGTACATGGTTCGTCGAGCAGTTTTGTCGTGGTGGGATAACATACGAAAGCGGTTTCCTAATCGACAAATGGCCATCGAGGGACAAACATTTCCAGCCGTGAAAATCTGACCGCCCATCCACGCTTTTGCAGATATAGCCGATCATACGGATGGTTATTTAGCCTGGACTACGCACCGTAGCATCCTGTTGGGCGTGCCAGTGAGGCTTATCTAATAGCCATTGTAAGTCTGTGGACGTTGCCACATATATCGCGCCCGCCTGTACTACGGCTCCTGTTATGAATGCACGTTTTGATGAATGATACACGCGAAGTTGTTCGTCGATGCACGGGGTCCACAGATGGTTCAGGTGTATCCTTTTAATATTCGTCTGAGCATCGACCACCATGCACACCAATACAATATCGGTGTGGAGAATCCCTGATATACGTGACGATCTGTATGCTGACAACAGCTAGGCCATACGTTTTGCAGACAATGGACCGTTTCGAGTTTTTCCACCCATCACAGGGTACCTTGGCAGACCACCTGCCTCACGACTTGTCGCAATGATCGGGGACGACCACATCAGCACTGGCGAGTAGCCACAGAGTTTGTTAACATCAAGCTAACGTCCCATAGGAAAAGGGGATTGGATGAGAAATGGACATGGTGCATTCTCAGGCGTCTTGAAGTGTCTACACCTCAAAACAAACAATCAGTTCAGAAAGGAACAGCACGAAAGTTACCGACATAGGTTACATGCTGTCTTTTGTGACCTCTCCAACCAACTACGTAGAGAGTAAAGTGTACCCGATCATAAAAGTGGAACCGCACGAATAGCAACCACGTGCCCCGTCATCTGCTTCACATCCTTCTTCCAAGTCACATTGTCCATTTCTCAGTTTGCACCATATGAAGAAGGCACGGAGAACATTGCGTAACACATGGTCAAACCACCTAGACCGAAGCTCCTACTTCACAGCAGAACACCCGTTTCCAGATAGCAACATTTCTAAAACTTCAGTTGTTGAAAACCTGAAGACACCTCAGCTCATCTGCTTGCAGGAGCTATTAGCAACCATTCAACAACACAGTAAATACTGCAGCCTGGTACACACAAAGCTTGAGACCCGGTGATGTTTCATTTCGACGCCACGTGACGCAAATCGACAAATGCGTTTCGTACCTTCGAGACAACGGGAGCATCCGTGCCCTGTGAGCTCGAGATAGCTCAGTGGATAAGGTGCCCTTTCACGGACCAGAACGTTCCTGGTTGGAATGCGTCCTCGGCATCTCGATTACACTCGTCTAGGCCTGGACAACCTGGTAGTAGTTCAGTCCTTTTGCCTCATTCCGTTTGATTGGCATCTAGGCTCCGAAAGGGCGCTTCAGCTAAACGATTTGGTTTGCCATCTACTACGAAATATTGATCAAAGGAAAGCGTATATCAGTAAAACGATGAGCGAGAAAGGTTGTCCGATAGCTCATATATTAAACCACCGATTGGACGGGTGGACCGAAATGTCGAAGGGCAATTCAACTAAGCCCTTCAACACAGCTCCTGGAAACATTGCATGCGAGCGAATGGAACTCCAACCCTAATCGCCCGTCAGAGGGAGAAGCAAAGCACGAAATATCCCTGCGGAAGCGTGAGAAGGCACTAAGGTCGGATGATTTGTCTCCAGCCGCGTCCGAAAAATTCGGAGAACCCGTTGCTCCATCTTACAAAGCTTAGTGGTGAGCGAAATGGCCCAAGTGGCTAGAGCGCGAATTTACTGACCGAAAGACCCGTGGTTCCAACCCGACACCTGCCTCTCGAGTTCCTTGGGCAACCTGGCAGTATCCTAACCCTCGTGCTCCCTTCTGGTGGCATGGCAGTCAGCCACCGAAACGCAGCTACAGCTGAATGATTTTTTCTCGCGAAGCTTAGTTGAGCTGTATGCAGTGAACAGAAAGCTCTTACAGGATGGTACACGTCGACAGACGCTCATACGTAAAAGAAGGCTGCGTGGACACTGTGAAGAAAAGTCGCGTTATTAGCCTGGTAGTTGTGGCATCGAAGGTGCTCTCTGGTTTCATGCTTCGGTGTCTGACCAAACACACTGAAAGGCAACTTCGGTGCATTCTTACAGGAGCATGCTCCTGAGGGATTTTGGAACAGTGATACTTCAGGTGATCAACAATGGGAGTCTTTTTAATTGCAAGCTGCGTCTAATTCTGTGAATCGTCAGGTACTCTGGCACTACCTATGAGGCAAACGTGTTCCCATAAATTTTTGCCCTCCCCCCTTAGGTTGCCAACTCCCATGGGTGTGTGAAGGTCTTCGCTAAGTTCTCGCCTGAGCTCACTGCCTTGGTGGTGTCAAGCAAGGCTGATCTCTTTCACCTTTGCTCTTCATGCAATACTCACCCTCTAATGCCTGTGTTGTCGAACTGCTCCCAGATGTTGAGTACACAGGCGACATAACTGTTCTTAGATCTGACGCTATCGGAATGCTAGCGAATTTATATAATCCGTGTAATTCTGCCTGGCATTTTGGTATGTGTTTCACACCTGAAAAGTGTGGGGTGCTGCTTCGAGAATCGTCTGGACCGATTGAAGTAGTAGACAAATTTGTTCACTTGGGCAGGTGGACCAGTCCCGATGGTCTAGCCAGAGGTGATATTACCGTGCAGATTGAAAAGACTAGAGCAGGTTTTGTGAGCCTGCGTGAACCATGGTGTTGGCGTAACATCAACCCACATATCAACGGTCGACTTGGTAATTCTGTTGTGCGCTCCTCGTTATTATTATATGAAACTTGGCCGTTGTGCGCTGAGGACTTCAAGAAACTTTCAATATTTGACCACCGATGTCTCCAAAGCATCGTCCAAGTCCAATGGGGACATCAGGTGGGCAGTGCCGAAGTATATCGAATGGTTTTCGCGAGTAGTAATCACCCAAGCTAGGTGAACAGGCTTTTTCGGCATTCACGCTGAGGGTTGAAAGAGGCCAGATGTCAAGCAATGATTGGACAGCGAAGTGTGAGAGTCATTGTCGGTAAAATCAACGGCGCTGATTATTGCCGTCACCCTGGATGAGGACTCAAAGACGGAGAACATCAGTGGTTAGGAACATTGACTGATCTGACCCTTTCGCGTGCCTAATGACACGCGTGTATCCAAGCTGTTGCCTTCACCGCATAACTTTCCTTCCGAACCCCTTATGTGGAGTCCACTATCCCTCCTTGATCAGCCCCTCAATCGTATAAAATTCTGCCTCCAATATGTGACAATGCACCCTTTTCTCCCCAGACCATCGATGAACGAAAATGTCGCAGCGGCAACCACTGTGCAACGGGTACATCGTTTTTAATGCTCAAAATGATGATACCCTCGAGATTCGTGTGCGGACTTCATCCGACGGTCTGTAATCAGAGCTGTGCGCTCCCTTGTGTCTCTCGAATTTCAAGGAGAACGTTTAGAGACTGCAAGTGCTGAGGCATATTTTTGCGATTTGTGGATGCAAGGCACATGGCGGAGGAAGGAATGGGGTTATCTATTTATCCAACAGTGTTTTTACTTCGTCTAGGATGTTGTTTGCTTACTCCAGATCGACATGGTTCGCTCCAGCGAAAATTCGGCCACTAGAGTTTTGAAGGCCCTCCAGGATCCTCCTAATTATTTCACCGGATAGGGAGTTGACAAAATGAGAAGTATACATCCTTTCTGGTTGCCGTTTCTCGTGGTTCGAATACAATTTTGACATCTGAATTGCGTCTGTCTTGGGTTGGAAAACCTAATAATATTTCAGTTTTCGGTTGTCGCGGAGCCTAATCACCGAAAGGTTGTAATAAAGGAACGATTGTTGTTGTTTGTTATGGGCCTATTCGAGCAGAGGAACTGAGACGTCTTCAGGTGTTTGACAAACGTTGTCTCAGAACCATAGCTCGTGTGGGTTGGTTTCGGCGAATCCGTAATGAGACAGTTAGAAAGCGCCCGACCTAAAGCTGCCACCTTGACGTGGTGGTCGGGCTTCAGTGCTGCAACGATCCTGCGGGCTACACTGGCTGGAACTTCGTTCCACAAGGTGCAACCATGCCAGGAAGGCCAAAGGGGAGCAGCCAGACC